TAGGTGTTGCGCCCGCACCGCGCTCAGCAAGTGAGCGGGAACCGGTCTCCACATGGGATCCGAACCCTCAGTGGGAGCGCCGCCGCACTCCCAAGCGGCGCACTCTCCAGTGCGCCACCGGGCCGGCCCTAGTCCCATATTTTTTTAAACACTTCACAAAAACAACAACAAAAAGGGAACTATAGAGCCATGAAATTGGAAGAAACTTCCTCAGTTAGCCCTCCCTTCTTATGTTAAGGAAAACTAAGTTCAGGTAAAAAATGAAAAGAATTGAGATCAAACCCTACACAGAGTTATCAAAAGAATAAGAAGAATTACATCCCTACAGACAGTGAAAACATGCCAGAAAGAAATGTCCATGAAACAAATAAAAACTATAATCTAATATTCCAAAACATGCTAAATGAAGTAAATAATACAAGGTATGAGAGAAAAACATAAACCAGAATTACAAAATTCAGAAATGAGGGGAGAGAACTAAGGAGAGAATTAGAAAAAAAAAAAAAAATTTAATTCAGAAATGAAGCCTAAGCTAGATGAAACACAGAGTGAATAAACACAACAGATAATGCCTTGAGGGAAATAAAAGGTGAAAAAGAGGAAAGATTTAAATACCAAAAAGAAATAAGAAAGGGATGAAAAGGGTTTACTAGAAGGTTTCACATGCAAAAGACAACTGTAGAAGATACAACATAGATGCAAGAGGAGTCTTGAAAGAAGGAAATCAAAGCAAAGAGAAGGAAAGAAATATGTAATTTAAAAGTTCACAAAAACTTTTATAAAATTAAAAAAGATATACATTTGAAACTACATATTGAAAGGACCCACCACATACCTAAGAAAATCAACCCAGAACACCAAGAGATATTCTACTAAAATTACTGCACTTTAAAGAAAGAAAAATCCTTTGGGTGATCTAGGAAAAACAATCACTTAAAAAAGATTGGATTTTTTTGATGCCAACACTTCATGCTAGGATAAAACGAAGTAACAAACTGAAGATAACCAAAGAGAGAAAATATGAACCAAGGATTTTTCAACAGCTTCATTGAGGTATAACTGGCAGACAATAAACTATACATATTTAAAGTTTATAATTTGATAAGATTTGACAAGTAATTTTATATCCAGCCAAACTGACTTTCAAGTGTAGAAGCCACAAACTGTTATCAACATGCAAGATCTCAGAGAAAATTGTTCTCACCGGTTCTTTGAGAAAAATCTACTAGAGAAGACGTTTCAGAGAACCACTGGAGACATAACAAAAGGACTGGAGGCAAGTATTAAACATTCTTGAAGAAGTAAAAGCAAACAAGGATGTTAAGGGAGAGAGTATAGTACATAGTGGGTATATATTCTGACAATGCAGAAAAAATTATTTTTTAAATAAGGGGAGAAAGGATTTAGCATATACAAAAAGTTTAACTGTTTTAATAATCATATTGGTATTGGAAGTATCGGGATTGTTACTCTTACACTTTTTTTGTGTGTGGAATGAAATGAGTAAATGAGTAATTACGTGACATTATAATTCTTTCATTTCCTATGTCTCTGAGAATCAGGATTACTGATATGGAAGAAAGGAGACACACATGCAAGATAGAAGAGGATAAAGATAGAAGATAGATAAAAACGTTATAATCCGGAATATATAAACTGGAAGTATTGGTATGAACCCATAAGATATTTTATCTATCCATCTTATGTTATATACAAGTATGACATACAAACTGTATATCCTATAATGTATAGTATATTATATTATCTATAAATTTTATATCTAGCTATGTATTTCCAACTGTCCACCAAAAGGCCTAGTAGGAATGATGAACCCAGGAACAAAGAGCCTTTCTGGTACCCAGATTTGTCTTGAAATGACAGTTCTCGATAAAAGAAATCAAGTCTTCCTGAAAAAAACATTGATCCAGGTCAGGGACAGGAAGAAGTTAAGATAAACTCCTTGTTATTCCAAGGAGTTTATCTTAATTTCTTTGTTGTTTTATAGCAACAAAGCTATAAAAGACTAACAGAGCTAAAAGGACTTGAAGAAGTTTCCAATGGCCAAAAGACAATCTTAACATCAATAAATGCAGAGTATGAAAACATAAGTATGTTTAAATCCAAGAGTTCATAATAATAAAACAAAAACAAACCCTTACAAAATTACAATTAGATAGGAGGATAAGTTCCAGTGTTCCAGTAGAGTGACTATGGTTAACCGTTAAGTTTTGTATATTACATAATAGCTAGAGGAGGAGTTTTTGGATGTTTTTGCCAACCTGATTATTATACAACATATATATAGATATCAAGACATCAGATTGTAATCCATAAACACGTACAATTACAATGTGTCAATTAAAAAAAAACCTAATTGGTCACTTTTTATTTTGTTGTTCATTTGTATGCAGTGAAAAAGCTAAGTGACCACTGCCCACAAACCACTCTGTTAGGCCAATGGATAAAAAGAAGATGAAGAAAAGTTTTTGCTCACAGTTTTAAGTAGAGACAGAGAAGAATTTAACTCCTAAGCTGGAAAGATCCTGAAAACCACCTTCACTCACCAAACACAATTACTGTGATGCTTTAAAAAAATACTTATACAAATATTCAGGGTGTGACTGTATAGAACTAAACAAATCAAACACTTGTTAAAGAATGTTTACCTTATTTAAGCTCTAGGCTTTTTTTTTTCTTTTTTTTCTTTTTTACTGACCAGTAACGGGATCGCAACCCTCGGTGTCGCGTCCGCACCGGGGACCAGCAACGGGATCGCAACCCTCGGTGTCACGCCCGCACCACACTCAGCCAGTGAGCGGGAACTGGTCTCTACATGGGATCCCAACCCTCGGCGGGAGCGCCGCCACACTCCCAAGCGGCGCACTCTCCAGTGAGCCACCGGGCCGGCCCAGCTCTAGGCTTTTTCTGTTGAGATACACAACTGTATAAACTTTCTTCCAAATCAAAGTGTAGTTAAGTATGTGTGCCTCTGTGTGGTTGATACCAAATTATTTTTTGACTGATCTGATCACTGTGAAGTATTGTCAAACACTACTTATGCAGGCAATATTTGGTTACAAACATGGCGTATAACACTTAGAGAAATTTTGACAATTACTACCAAAGAAAAAAATTTTAATGTTTTAGTTTCTAAAATTAAACTACCCTATAATGTCATAGTTATTAAATAGGTACACATCCAGACCATTTTAAAGGTATGTAAAAGATGAGGTATCTATTCCAAAATATGATCATTTAATTCAAATAAAAAATTTATTGCAACACACATACCCAATGCAGAATCAAAAAAAGTGTGAAGACCTGAATACAGCCACAAGAACCTTTTTAATGTTAAGCTTAATAACCCATTTGAAATATTTGCCATTTTTTTATTTTGGCAGATAAAATTGGCTTTTAAGGAAGTCACTTACCAATAAATGGCTCTCCTTCACACACAAACAAAACATCATCATCCCTAGGGAAATTAAAATTTAAAAAGCCACCATCAAAATCTAGAAATCACATTAATTATTCGTCAACTATAGAAACTATTCCTTAGAATTATGTAGAAGACAGGTTTTGCTATCAATCTATACTGCAAAGAAGCTAAGTTTCCAGTGCTTTGTCTAACCCCGATTTAATTGTCTCTGGATTTAAATTCAAAAATAAGATCCTGCACATGAAAGTACTTTTGAAGCTGGGAAAAAAAAAAAAATCCCACTATACAAATTATGTGAATTCAGCTTTCTAATCAATTGAAGAATGTACTATTATGCTCAAAGGAAATGATTAAAACCATAGCCAACTCTTTTTTTCTTTTACTCCTTTATCCCTAAATAAAATATTGGGATTTTCTCCTAAATCATTTGCTGCTGGGTGCTTTGGAAATGAAATAAATTTTCATATTAAACATAGGAAAAACATAATTGGAAGTAACTCTGCTATAAACGCTTACCCACTACACACCCACCACACATCCAAATGTAAATGACTGCACATAACCTATAATTCTGCATTATCAGCATATATCCTCCACCCCTGCCCCAACCCATCCTACCACTAATATAAATAAGTGATCAGAGGCTCTACGGTGAACCAAAAACTACATTGTAGAAGTTTTCACTTCCTATAGGACATCATAGGAATGTGCTGGATTTTTCTTAGAAGCAGGTCTGTGCTTGCTAAGGAGAAAATTAGGTCGATGCAGGTCATTCAACAATGTGACTCAACTATCCTCAGAAACTGAAAGAAGCTGGGAGATAGATACTGCAAAACCAAGAAATTCTTCTACTTTATTTGGATTTGAAATACAGCTTAAAATATTTTTTATTTGGTCACCATGCTAGCTAACTTTTTTAGATTAGTCTGAAAATTTGTTTTCCTTTTACTGACAAAAGTCAGCTACTAAGTTGTATGATCTGGGTAAGTCACTTAATTTCACAGATGCTTAGTTTCCTCATTTGTACAATGAATGGACTAGGACTGATTAACTTCAGTGGCAGTATATTATATTGAAAAATCATTCTGACCTGAATTTAAATGAAGATTAAGTTTTGTATAATACTGTAATTTACAGCATCATTACCTTCACACCATCAATTATATAAACCCATGCTTTGCCAATCAGATGAGATAACTCAGGTAAAGCAATCAGACATAACCGGCTTAGTTAGTAAAGCTGACCCTTGAACACCACAGGTTTGAACTGCATGGGTCCTATTGGATTTTTTTTTTTTTCCTGAAGTATGAGGGTACTTCAAAAAGTTCATAGAAAGATTCATATGATTTTTTAATTCTATTTTTCCACAAACTTTCCGAAGTACTCTTGTATACACACAGCACTGAAATGTATTTTCTTTTCCTTATGATTTCCTTAATAACATTTACTCTTCTCCAGCTTACTTTATTGTTAAGAATATAGTATATAATACGTATAACATATAAAATATGTGTTAATCAATTATGTTATCAATACTTATGTTATCAATAAGGCTTCCACTCAACAGTGGGCTATTAGAAGTTACGTTTTAGGGTAGTACAAAGTTACACTGGAATTTTCAGCTGTGTGGGGGGTGATGCCCCTAGCCCCCACATTGTTCAAGGGTCAACTGTACTTAATTTGCATTCCCTTTATTATCTTTTTCGTTAAGTCTCTTCCTGCTCCAAAATTCTCTGATCCTGTGAGGATGGAGTGAGGAGAACTATATACTTGTTTTAAAGAAATAAATTTACCCGAGATATTTAAAAACAAAAAACAAACAATATGCCCACTACTGTGGTCGATCACTGGTGAGATCTCTAGTCAGAATTCTATCATATTTAGCAAATTTTCACAGAAGTAGGTCTTGTAATGCTTATTAAATTTAAAGCATCCTTAGGAAATGAACTTAACAATAAGCAGTTGCATATATGAGATCAGTTAGATTTTTAACAGTAAAAACTGCATGTCTTATTACATTGGTCTCTAGTACCACAAAGACGAAATTCCTCATAGCCATGTATGAACTATACAGAAAGATTACCAGTATGATGGAATGGACTACGAGATTTCTGTCTGCCTAAGTCCACATGATTTACATTCCAAGGAGCAAATTCTAGGCAATCACTTGCCAAAATCCTGTATTCTTAGCAGTGATTAAACGACTACTTAAGGGAAACAGCTTAGCACCAAGAGGCTGAGGGCACACTGTTGACAACTTATAAAAAGGTGAAGGTTACCTGATCAAAGCAATATCATCAATCAGTCCACCTTTCCCATTATACACACTGGTGGCTTTTATGCCGAGTTTACTGCTGGCCACAGAAAGCAAATCAGATAATGTTCCATATACAGCAACCACCTGTAAACATACCAGATTAATTTGAACAACTTATATAGTGAATTTTGTCACCCACAAATTACAAACCATCACACTATTAACAGGACTAAAAAACTAGATTACCACATAAAAGGGGATTTCATGAGGTTCGTAACAGTGTCCCTTTTTCTTCTATGACTCATATATTTACTTAATGCCTCGTACTACAGAAACCCAAAACTAGAGAATAAGAAATTGTCTCTGGCCAAAACCAATCTACAGTCTTAAGATATGTTAAATTGTGCTCCAGTTCTGAAGTAGACAGACTTGCACTTGAATCTAGATTCTTACATTTTCTAGCTGTCAACTTGAGACTAAAACTAAACCTCTTTATTCTTCTGTTGCTTTAACTAGAAATGAAGAAAAAACAGTAGCACCTATCTCAGGTTATTCTGAGGATGAAGCGAGTTAATGCATGATAAGAGTTTAGCAAAGTGCTGGAGACCCATTAAGTCCTTATTATGTTGTTCTTATATTATTCCTTTGATAGAGGAATGGTTCATTTTAAAAATAGGAATGATTTAGTGCTGTCTATTATATTGTTTACTGCACCAACTACAGGTTGAGTATCCCTTATCCAAAATGCTTGGGACCAGAAGTGTTTTGGATTTTGGACTTTTTTGGATTTCAGAATGTCTACATATACATAATGAAAGATCTTAGGTGTGGGATCCAAGTCTAGACACATAGCCTAAAGGTTACTTTATACATTTAATAATTTTGTGCATGAAACACATAACCTGTCACACAAGGTCTAGTGTGGACTTCCCGCCTCATTTATTTAATTCTTTAATAACTACTTCAGATACAAGAGAACAAAACTGGAATACGAGTTCTCTACTTTTGGAAGATTGCATGCTCCTGTGTTAGTGAGCAAAAAAAGTTTTTATTCTACAAAAGCCAGACTTTAGTGACTGACCTTCAGTATACAGCAAACAGCCAGGTGACAATGAATTGATCTGTCCTGCTCTGAAAGGCACAGTCTAATACATGTACAAGATATACGCAACTGCTTAAGCAGGGGACTGAGACTCTCTACATGTGGTCATAATTATAACTGTGGGTTCCCAGTGGCTGAGCTTTATAGTTGTACCATTATCAGTGAGGACCTCTGAAAGTTATGAGTGAAAAGCAGGTGAGGAGCTAAACATAAAGCATGAACAGCTAACTGACTTCCTATGAATACTCTATAAAGGTACCATATGAAATGAGGACCAGGGTTGGTCCTCTGTCCACCAGTGACTGGAGTACAGTGGCCAATTTTCAGTTAAATAAATGAAGAGAAGAGCAGGGCATGGAAGCAGGTGCTCACTAACACAGGAGCATGCAATCTTCCAAAAGCAGAGAACTCAGATTCCAACTTTGTTCTCTTGTATCTGAAGGATGAAGGTCAGGAGAGTGCTGCAAGGTGGGGCGTTTGGGGAGGGCTTGAAAGCAAGCACAATCTAAAGGGAACCAAGTGGAATATAAAAAACATATACGACCTAAGTGTCCATAAACAGATAACTGGGTAAACAAAATGTGGTATAGACATACAGTAGAATGTTATTCAGCTATAGAAAAGAATAAAATTCTGACACATGCTATAACATGGAGAACCTTGAAAACATTACGCTAAGCGAAATAAGTCAGACACTTTAAAAGAACAAATATTATATGATTCCATTTATATGAAGGTACCTAGAACTGGCAAGTTCAAAGAGACAAAAAGTAGAGTAAAGGTTTCAGGGCAGAGATGGGAATGGAGAGTTATTGCTTAATGAGTGTGGGTTATGCTTGGGATGATAACAATGTTCTGGAAATAAATAGTGATGATGGTTATACACACATTGTGAATGTACTTAATGCCAATGAAGTATATACACTTACAAATGATTAAAACGGTAAATGTTTTGTTATATTTTACGATAATAAAAAAGAATACTGCAAAGCACTTGGCACAGTGTCTTCTTGCACATAGCAGGCATGCTATGAATAAATGAAGCCTGAATAAAATATGTCCGCCATGTTTCCCACCATTTTTCAGCTCTGCAATAGAGCCTGGAATTCTGTTATTGCATGTACATATTCTTGGGAGAAAAGGCAGAAAATTATAGTACATAGGGCATTAACATACAGCAAATCTGGTTGTGTTAAGGTAGAGGGCATGAAGAAACTAAGAAGAGAGAAGCAAAAATGGTAAGGAGCAAGAGACTGGCCCAAGCAGATGCACAACTTTTACAGTTGGGAAGGTGCTGGGAGGAGGGTGAGAAACTCCTCTTGCCAACACCAACATGCTTGTCATAGTTACCAAGATACTAAGAACTTTCTAAATCTTTCTCTTTCTCCTCTTATATATCTCTGCCTCTTGTATGCTCTACATGGCTTTCTTTTGCCCGATATTATCCACTCCTTGCTCTAACATCATTGTTTTCCCTGGCATTTTTCACTTCTATTGGCAACACCATGAAGTGGATGCAAGTTTCATGTATCTATCTACATTATTCTCCTATGCTTAATTTGAATATTAGAGATTAAGATTTACTATGACTCATTTTTCAAAATTCATCAAAAATTGAATTGTTGTCTATCTCCATATAGATTGACTTGGTGTTTCCTGTGGGTCAGTAGTCTTCTAACGAAAACGAAGGCCACCTGCCATGTTCTAAAGGGGCACTGCCCAATGTGGAAGCCACCAGCTACATGTGACTATTTAAATTTTAATTTATTAAAATTATTACAAGTTAAAATGCACCTCATCAGTGACACTAGCTGCAGCTCAAATGCTCAGTAGCCACATTAGCTAGTGGTTACAATATTGAACAGTGCAGGTATGGAATATTTCCGACATCACAGAAGTTCCATCAGACAGCACTATTCTAAAGAGCAGAATAAAATGAAGAACAAAGAAACATCTATTTTAATTCTTCTAGGCTTGCCCATCACATAGCAACCCACAGTAACAAACTGATACAGTGCAACTCAAGACCTGTTTGCTGTCTTAAATAGAGGGTGGGAAGATGTTCCCTTTCTCCCCCATTGAAGTCAGACTTGACCACCCACACACAATGTTTGGCCAAAGACTATTCTCAAGGCAATCAAAGCACAACAGGTATTTTCTTGTACACTGCAAAACTACTAAGGAGCACATTCTAGGCATAAATTTAGTTCAGCTTCTATTTTATTATCACTTAAATCAGTTCTAACACAGTACCAAACACAATTTATCATTTCAATAGCTATTTTCCAATCTGACTTGCTACCTGAACTCTAAAGGTTCAATGAAAAGGTTTTAATTTGTAAAAAGTTGTGAATTCTGTGAATATACGTAACCAACTATCCCTTGTTAATGCTGATGTGCTGTACTAAAGTATATCATCAATTAGTGCCGCCCTAATCAGACATCAAGAAAACAACTGACCCTAGCTTAACTGTAAGGAACCAATGTTAGAATGTTATGTTATAATGTATAATGTCAAATGTTATAATACCAGACTTATTGTACGCCTTTGACAAATATTCTTGAATGTTGAGTGAAATTTCATTGCTTTCAGAGTGCTGAATCAGGACACATCTTTTTTGTGTGTGAGTCAGTTACATTTAAGTCTCATCCACTGACAGTAAGTTGAAAAACAAAGTACACAGTATAAATGCAATTCTAAAGTTATATTCATAAAACTATTGAAAGTGGCTATCTTTGGATAATGGAATTATGGCTGATTTATTAAGAGTTTTTTGTTTCATTTTATTTTCCAAATTTGTTACAAAGAACCTGTATTACTTACACAACAAGGGGGAAAACTTTTAATTTACTTTAAGGTCTCCATTGTTCTAGATACTAGTTTAACAAAATTATTTTAGCAGTTGACAATCTAACTATTGACAATTTCCTTTAAAAGAAATAATCAAAGAGTCATCAGAGAAAACAAAATTAAAATATGAAGAATTTTACAGTTCTGTAAGTTTGAAAATTTCCATTAAATTGAGCCAATATAATTGTTTTTTACTTGGAGAGCTATTTTTGGCATTTGTTTTTCAGCTGGAATCATTTGCACATACTAACAAAACCAAAAAAAAAAAAGGAATATTCAAAATCTCTGTATTTTATACGAACTAATCAGAAATCAGATTTTAAAAAATATGTATCAACATAAAAATGTGATACACATGGAAAAGATTTTTAAGTTAATGAGAAAGAGTTTCACACAGACTCTTACATGTATTTTTCTTTATATAACCACTCTGTTGGGGAAAAATGTCAATGGAAATCTTGTATATCGTTGGATATAAGCTCATTGGTACAAACAGTGCTAAGCTTACTTTAGTCCTATACTGAATCAGAGAGAAAGGCCAAGCATTTACAACATGATTATGCTTATAAAGATTATTTGCTTTGTGTGTGCTATACTCCCCATTATGGACCTGAACTTTGCATGTCACTCTGATTATCTATGTTAATAACATAGGCACTGAGAATGGAAGCATTTTATGGAGTAAATTGAGAAGCACATCTATTAAAGTTTATGATGACTAAATAACATTACTATTCAGACTTAATAATCCTATCTAAATTTCAGATCCCACGACAGCTGGGAAAGTAAATGGTATACCATGCCTAGTAGGATTGGCTAGTTTTAATTTGCCTTTAAACACCATCTTCAAATTGTAACTTACGTTACTTTAGTTTAAAAATAAAAACCCGCATATGTATTTAAAACACTTTTTTTCTTATAGCCTCACATTGATTGATTGATTGATTGATTGATTGATTGATGGCTGGTCGGTATAGGGATCCAAATCCTTGACCTTGGTGTTATGACACCACTCTAACCAACTGAACTAACCAGCCAGCCCTCTTAAGACATTTATTACATAATGCACAGTCAATAAATACTTGTTAAATTTATACAGGCTGATTTACCCAACCAAAGTACCAATCACAATTAATAACTAAATGTAGAACTCAATTTACTCTACCTACACTTTCAGTTTAATACATGTACAAAATTTAAATGATTTTATTCCTAAAAAAAGATGACATAACTAACTCTAAGGTCAAGAATGAAAATATTTAAAATTGAAAATTCTGACAATACCACGGTTGGAGAAGATGTGGATCAATGAGATGTTTATTCAATGCTGGTGGGAATGTAAGTTACTTCAATGACTTTGAAAAACAATTTGGCATTATTTTGTGAAATTGAACATTTACATTCCCTAACACCCAATGATTATAACTACATATATTCCTGAGCAGTGGTTCTCAAAGGTGTGGTGCCAACACCTGCAGCGTTAGAACTGCCTAGAAATTTGTTAGAAATGCACATTCCTAGTCCCACCCTAAACCAGCAATCTTAAACTGTGGGGATGGAGTCCAACAACTTGTTTTCTCAAGTCCTCTCAGTGACTCTGATGCATGCTCGAGTTTGAGAACTATTGCCCTAGAAAAATGCTTGCCCACGTGCACCAGGATACACATACAGAAATATTAATGGCAGCACTGTTAATTTAATAGCAAGACATGAAGAATATAAACAACCAAATGTCCATAGAGAGGAGGATGGATAAATCGTGGTAGTATTTTTATATAATGGGCTTTCATGAAAATGGCTGCCTTTATGGGAGAGGCAGAGAAATGGGAAAGTGGATGAGCTCGTTAAGTTACTGGTAATATGCTATTTCTTGGGCTGTGCAGCAGGTGTTTGGATATTTGTTATAATATTTTCTTTCAAGTTTTTATGTATATTAATACTCTTTATTATATTCTTTTGTATTATCAAATATATATTAAGAAATGTTTAAGTTTAAGGAGTGAGCCTTCACAAGATTCTGAATAATGTTCAGATTTCAAGAGGCAAATCTTCACACAGGTTTTCACCTTTCCGTATCTCTAATAATGATGGGTTCAAATCTGGACACTTAATACCAACAACATATTTCTGACCTCACATCAAAGCTATTCCTGGACCAAGAATGTAAAGATCAGTACAGAATGAAAATCTGTTCCTTACGCCACTATGTCTGCAGGGTGGCATGGTGCCTCACACCCAGAATGTACTCGGTAAGTGCTGATTAAGTGAATGAGTGATGAATGAATAAGGTATACAAAAGGTCTGTTATGTGCACAGCTCATTATTGAGTATTCTGAAGTAAACCCATTTAGTGTTCAAGATGTACAGAAACTTTGTTTGCACTGACATCAGGTTGCTTAGAAAACACATACTACATTCAGATGTCCAAGTTCTCATTTCAATTTCCTTAATGCCAACTCTTACAGGGACTGTTAAAAAGAGACCAATGTGAATTTGGACGCATATGGAGAAAGGATGAAAGATCCAAGCACACCTGACTCTTCTGGGGCAATTTCAAAAAAACAAAACCAAAACCCCCCAAAATTTAAGTTAAAGATCCTAATTTTTTAGAACTATGACCTTCAAATGTTTTTGACTATGCATCCCAATGGTAAAATATTTGGGGGCATGTGTTTAAACATTTGTATATTTACTTATTTATAAACTATATGCTACTGTCAGAAAGAACATGTTTTCCCAAATGATATGAGGACTGCTGTGGTCTCTATGAATTGGCCAGTAAGAATCCCCTAAATCTTTACCATTAAATTTTGAGAGATTCTGCCAAATATAAAATTGACTTTAACATTTTTTCCTTGTTTGTTTGTTTTGTTTTTGTTTGGCTGCTGGCCATTACAGGGATTGAACCCTGGACCTTGGTGTTATCAGCACCATGTTCTTTTTTTTTTTGTCTTTTTCCGTGTCCAGCAACGGATCGCAACCCTCAGTGTTGCCCCCCTACCGGCCCGGGGACCGGCAACGGGATTGCAACCCTCGGCGTTGCTCCCGCGCCTCCCTCAGCCAGTGAGTGGGAACCTGTCTGTATGTGGGACCCGAACCCTCGGGCGGGAGCGCCGCCGCGCTCCCCAAGCGGCGCACTATCCAATGCGCCACCGGGCCGGCCCATCAGCACCATGTTCTTTTTTTTTTTGTCTTTTTCCGTGTCCAGCAACGGATCGCAACCCTCAGTGTTGCCCCCCTACCGGCCCGGGGACCGGCAACGGGATTGCAACCCTCGGCGTTGCTCCCGCGCCTCCCTCAGCCAGTGAGTGGGAACCTGTCTGTATGTGGGACCCGAACCCTCGGGCGGGAGCGCCGCCGCGCTCCCCAAGCGGCGCACTATCCAATGCGCCACCGGGCCGGCCCATCAGCACCATGTTCTAACCAACTGAGCTAACCAGCCAACCCCCAAGATTGACTTTAAACATTAAAAATTTAGGGGGGGGAAAAAAAGAAAAAAATTCTGAAGCCATTTGTCTTCATGTGCTGGAAAATATTTTCAAATGTCTTGCTAATTGGGTTGACCTCAACCTATCACAGGCTAGTATTTCAAGAAACAATATATACTTAGGGAGAGTTTGATTGTTAATAGTAGTTATTAAATAGGATTTCAAATAGTCTTTTTTTTTTTTTTTTTTAATATGGCACTGTTTGACTTCTCAGGTCCAAAAAGATCCTTTTTTAAAAAATCTCTTAGTTTATACCAGGAGAAGTGGCAGCCCTGCCATTTTCTTGTTTACCTGTACTCGTGTAATTAACATTGCCTGCAATTTGGTTTCTTTGGAGGACTCTTTTAAAGTCACTTGGCATTTTGGTGAGAGTTAATTTAATTAAAACTGGATGATATAAATCTTAACATGGCACACTGTAAGCGCTCATATCACAATATGTCCACATGAACCAATCAGTGAAGCGGCCATCAATTTTTTCACATTTGAAGATAATCCCTGCAGGCTTGAGACTGGCTGACTCAGTGACTGGAGGCACCTATGTTATTCCAGGTTAGAAAAATCGAGTTTTCATATTGCCTTATATTTTTAAGTAAAAAATGTAAATAAAAGGTATAACATCTCTTCCTAAACTCCAATGGACCATCTTACACACCCTCTATGGTATGCCATCTCACTCTGGAAACCATTGTTTTAGAGAATGCAAAACCCTCTCTTCAACATCAAAAACGTTCACGACTTACATTTATTCAGTATATAGAAAATACGTGGTGAACAGATCTCTCTCTGTGCCTCCCTGCCCCCCAGGCTTTATGGCCCTGACAGGCAACCACTGAACAAGCTTTGAGAGGGAAACATTTGAAAAAAACAGAGATTACTCTTATGACCAGGAAATAAAAATAGAAGCTAGGTAAATAAGGATAATGTGACACAGATATTCCAACTGGTGGATGGGAAATCAAATTCTATTTGTTTTGGCATGTTCTTAATGAACATTTATGTCATGATCATGCCAATCCGACTAAATAGTCATTTTATGTATACAAAAAAGTGGGCTGCTGGGCCGGCCCGTGGCTCACTCGGGAGAGTGCGGTGCTGATAACACCAAGGCCCCGGGTTCGGATCCCATATAGGGATGGCCGGTTAGCTCATTGGGTGAGCATGGTGCTGACAACACCAAGTCAAGGGTTAGATCCCCTTACCGGTCATCTTTAAAAAAAAAAAAAAAAAAAAAAATGTGGGCTGCTACGTACTCTTCTGTTCTTTTGTCAAATAAGAGTAATATTATTTCTTAATCAGCTGAAGGGAGAGGAAACACTGACAACTTTAATTTATAATCTGTTCTCCAGTTGAGTAGTAAGGATTATGGTATTGTTTCTTAATATCAAAAATCACACCCGTTTGATTTCTCCAGTTTGGATGTTTATGATCTTTGTAACATAAACATATTTACTTTTAATTATTTGAGATGCATTCTCCCCAGTCTTTTGAGATTCTCTAGCAAAATATTTTTAAAGTAAATAAAATTTAAATCCCAAAATCTAACCTAGTCAAAACTAGATAGAGCTTTTTAAAAAAGTATCAAAAATAATATGGACAGACCAACTCAGCCAGTCCTTGACAACAACAAAATCCAGTGGGTTAAGAAGAGATTTAGAGCATAGCTAAATATTTACAACTGGGACTAAACATTTTGTCTTTCATGGAGTAACACAGTAGTGATGTTGGATAAAAAGGTCAATCAGAGGTTTGTTTTTGAAAACAAATTACAATTGTTACTTTGGATATACTAAATCTTTCTTCCAGTAACAAACACAACTTTTAACTACAAAAGTTTAGAAAAAGTTAATAATTGTCAGAAATGTGAACTCTGTGAAGCATATTTTTGATGTAACATTCATGAAAACTCAAGAACTTGAACTTATGCCAAATCTGGTTTTGTATGAGTATCAAATCTCTAAGACCAGAACACAAAATTATAGTCAACACAGCACACTGTGGTTTAAATTTTCAGAGTAAGTTTACTCAAAACTGCAGAGGAGTTGGAAAGCCATTTTTTATGCTGTTGGACTGTTTTGCTATTTAAAAATTTAACAATGTTTCCAGAATGTGCAGGAGCAGAGTATTCTGGCAAAGAATACAGTGAGGCCAATTTAACCTTTACCTTAGACTCTAAAGGCTTAGTTACTTCTGGGTTCATTTAGTCACACAATAAATGTCTGCCTTGCACGGTCAAAATTTTCCAAAGCAGCAGAACAACTTTCATGGGTGGGGCAAGAGGTTGAGAAAGGAACAGGATTCATCTTGGCTTGCTCCAGCACTGGAAAAATATTTAGCACCACACCCTCAGCAAAGGCCTAACACAGCAAAGGCTACTGTCAAACCAATCCGCTTTGGTCTGTTGTCACAGTCCTCTAAGGAACCAAAATAAGGCAAAATGATAAAAGTTTGGCAGCGGTGAGGATTGGTGGATTGGGGTACCTAAAACAGAGCGAGGAAAACTATCAAGAAAATGTTCCCACGTTTAAACCTCTACTTGACCTAGGGTGGGAGAGTATTTTACTTATCCGCCGGTAGTTGAATTCTTTTTACCTGGCCAGTCTCACGTGCCCCGGTCATCATCACCACTTTCCTGAGCTGACCATTACTCAGCATGAAGCTAGACAGCAGCGCATCTCCATCCAGCCAGGGATGGGGGAGCGGGGTCTTGGGGGTCCGGGCGGTCGAGGACAATCAGCTCGGAGAGTGCAGGTGACAGAGGCCCTGCCCACGCCCTCCGTCCTCCTGGACCCTCACCCTGGACTGGGGAAGCTCGGAGTCGCCGGACAGCCGAGCAGCTGAACGGCAGGCTCGGGCAAGGAAGCTCGAGGGTCGGGAGGACGACCCCCACCACCTGCCTGCGCCCTGCCCCACTTCAGCTGGCCGCCCCCGGCCCGCAGCTGTTCCGCCGCGACCCCTTACCTTTCCGTTCTTGGGGCTGCCGTTTAGGAACAGGGTCACCCGCCTCATCGCGCTGCCCCCGCTGGGTCCTGAGGGCGCCGCCACCCTCCCGCCGGGCCCTCCTCCCCCCTTTCTCTCCTCCCGCCCTTCCCCTCCCTCCACCCACTCGGGTTCTCCCCCCTTCGCCACCTTCCTTCTCTTAGGGACACACCACACACACGCACTCGCCGTCCCACACCCCGGGGTTGGCCGGTCCTCCTTCCCACCCCGCCCCTCAGCGCCTTAGCCCGCCTGGACCCCTTCCCCCACCTCTCCGAGAGTGACCCTGAGCTTCACCAATCAACCCGCGGCGTCGGCCAGAACTCAGCGAATCAGCGCCCGGCACCGGGAAGGCTCCGACCAACCCAGCCAGAATGGAGGGCGGGAAGAAAGGCCGAAAGCTAGCAGACGGAAAGGGGTACCAGCCAATCAGAGCGGAACAGCGGCTCAAAGCGTTACTGAGCAGGCGCATATTCAAGTCTAGGGCGTGCTTATCTGCATACGGAGGCGGGGCTTGAGGAAAGGAGGTGGAGTGCTAGAAGTGACACACACCAGTCAGCACCTCCTAGTGCCGTAACCCCGCCCACTCTCCCAACCCACCGAGGAGACAGGGCCGTTGGGACTGGTGATTGGGTAGGAGGCAGTCGGTCGCTCTGTCAGGATTGGTCCAATGACTCTTTTCGAAGTTGGCAGCATCCAATCGAAGGGTGGGAGGCGGAGTTAAAGGGCTAACCGAAGGGTTACTCCGCGAGGCGCTCTCAGAAAGGAGTTCCCGCGGTGACCATTCGGGGCTTGGTCTGTCTGGATGAAGGGTCGCCCACCGCTAGCGGTGGCTTCTCTCCGAGCCCAGGAAGCTACTCCTGGGGCCGAGACGGCGAGGGAGAGACCTTGGAGAGGTCGGGGGTCGTGCGGATACATGCCGGGGGCGGCGGCGGAGGGATGCGTGAGGGAGTGTTGCGGCCTGGGCGGGCGATTTGAACCGGGCGGTGGCCGGGCGGGGTCTGTGCTCGACGGCGCGGGCTGCTCGCCGGCTGTCGGCCGCCGGGACGCCGGGGACTGGCGTGCGGAGAGCGGGCCCCCGTGGCCGGCCTGGCGGGCGGCAGGTGCTTTCTCGAGCGATCCCTTCCGGAACGAAGAGCCGGGGTCGGGGAGGCACGACCACCGCGACCCTCGTGTGCTGGGGCTTTGCAGGTCGGCCCGGGCGCCTGGAGCTCACCGAGGCTGCGGGCGGGAGAGGGGGCGGGGGTCCTTTTCAGTCTGAGCTCCGGGAGGACCCTCCTGATATGCATTTTCATGCCAATCTCGAATGAGGTTCTTGATAGAATCGCATTCCTTTTGCTGGAGGGGTAATTTTTTTGTTTTTCTTTTTTCTCTCTCAATGATTTAGATGGATACCACCTCAAAAGACAAGGCGCCCCCTGAAACCACGGTTATCAGTAATGCCGGTATGGGGTGATTTGTTAACTGCTTGTGAAATTTAAGGTTTAGGTGTTTGACTTGATGATGATGTTTCAGCCCCTGTAACATGTTGTCTGTTTCAGAAAATGCCTCCTTCATTTTGGGAACTGGAAATCTTGTGACTCCACAGAAGCACGCAGCAGAAACGACTTCTAATCTTTGCACACCAGGTGCTTTTAAATCACCTTTGAACTTTTCCACAGTAACCGTAGAGCAATTGGGAATTACACCTGAAAGCTTTGTTAAGATCTCTTCAGGTAACTTTAATAGAACTCAGTTTTGTTCGTCTGTATTGTTATCTTATTACTTTATGTATGTAAGTTGATTGGCTCTGCAAACTTGCTTGTTCAGGGAGACTTCTGTGCACATGCACAGCACATCTGGCACAGCAGGGATAATAGGGTCCCAGGGAATCCAGTGTGATAATGTTCCTAAGTCACAGTTGTACTCCTTTCTCATATTGGAAAAGAATGTGTGTGTGAATCACTTTTTGATCTAACACATGGGATAGAAGGGGGTGTATAATATGAATAGTAATACATTTTATGTTCATATGTGGCAAAATAGGCAAGGGTCAAAGAACAATTAAGGAAACGTAACATTGAAAGATTGGGGTATGCATCCTTCAAAAATCACAAACAGAAAATTGACTTAGGGGCTGATCTTCTTTAAGCAGAGAAAGTAAAATTCACCTGTGAAGTCTGACTTAGGTGGAGAAGAAATATGGGAATGGAATTGGATTAGAAAACATCATTTAGAAATGGCGGAAAATGGGGGACTTGAGAGACCAAGGGCCCTAGACTGGGTAACACATGAATAAGACAAGGTCAAAGTGGCATACCATTCTGTGTTCCTTCTCAAGATCATCACTCTTAGACCTTTAAAAACCTGGAATCATTTTGTGTGCTTAGGCATATGGCCGAAATTCAGGGTAGTGCGCTGAAGGTAGGTAGGTATCTAAGAGAAAATTATCTTGAAGAATTAAGAACATGAAAGTTCACGTGCCTTCCTTTCAGTCTTGTGGGATAAGACTGACTCAGAAAAAGAAAAATTTTTAATCAAAAGCAAGCCATCACCCAGTTCTGTGTGCAAGAAATGTGAAACAAAACTGAAAACTATTAATTACAATGTGTTCATGTATTCATTGAACAATTATTTAATAAATGACTTCTATGTGCTAGGCACCATTCTAGGAGTGTGGACTAAATCGATCAGTGGACAGAACAAAGATGCCTATCCAACTGATCATGTATGAACAACTTTGCCAGTAATTCTTTACTTAGATTTCTGTAGCATGTGTGTATCATCGTGTTTTCTCTCTCAGGCTGGGGCATCATGGGTATCGCACATGATTAGTGATGACTGCCTTCTGTCCCAATTTATAAGAGTGTTTCTTTACTACAGGAAAGTCAGCATCCTACCTTAAAAAATCCAGACGGCGTTCTACAGTTGGTGTTCGGGGCTCTCCTGAAACAAACCATCTGATTCGTTTCATTGCCAAGCAGCGGAATTTAAAGAATGCTGCAAGATCTCCTTTGGCACACGGTTCTCCTTTTCAGGTATGATTTTTTTCTAAGTCCTGTTGTGTATTCTAGGGAAACGTTTTGCTGTGTTTTGAAGTTTTTGTGCAGTATTTCTGCCTAGTGCATCTTATCTATTTTGGATCTGGAGAGAGACTGTTTTCTCTGTGTCTTATAGAGAATATGCAGTTAGCATAAATGATGATGTTGAGCATGGATATATAAGAATTATGAGACCCTGGGTAGAAATAGCTTTCCAGAGGAGCTTTCTATTTTATTTTGCAAGTACTTTTCTAGTTAATGTCTTATTTAATGAGGAGAGACACCATTTTCCAACCTTTTTCTTTTAATAGCTTGTTCTCTAAGTTTCTAATTTTTTCATGACTTCTGTGTATTGGTGTGTATGGGCAAGGGTTTCTCAGGGCAAAATGTATTTGCGACAACCTTGTGGAAAGGGGCCAATTATGTGTCTGCTTTGGGGGATATATTTGGCTATATTTTTCAAATTTTTATCAAAATGATACATGCCCCCCAAAAGTGAAATAATAGTACAAGGCTTGTGATGAAAGACACAGGCCTCCGGCTTACCTTTCTTGAAGGGGAGCTAATTTTAACTCCTTTTCTATTTGGCTGATCTGTTTTCCCTAAGAGTAATTCCTGGCAGCACAAACCTGAGTCCTGGAACTCTGAAGTTAAATGTGGACATATGGCTGGAAGTGTCACTGTTCATTGAGAAGACTTGGACAGCCTTGTTTTCAGTACATGGCCTTGGCCTTGCACTCAGCTCTCCTGGAGTCCTAGAGTTCTGAATCTCTGCTCCTTCCAAAACACAAAGGCCCTTTCTTATTTGTGGAGAATTATGGGGGTTCATGTTCTGATAGTTTCAACATTCCTCCTGTTTTCTGTCCTAACCTTGACCCTTGTTTCAGAAGTACCTGATGCTCTAGGAGTCTGCAGCAGTTTGCTTGTTTCCCGTTAGTTTCACCTTTCTCTAGTCTGTAAGTTTGTTTGTTGACATTGTATCTTGGTGTTGCTTTTTCTCTCATTTTATTCTTAGGCATATGTATATACATATGCTTACATGCAGTCACGACCCCCCCCATACACACACTTATCATATAACCGTATTCATTAAAAGAATTACTTGAATGTGTAGTTCTAGTATATGGCATTGTTAAAAAAACACAGGCTTTTTTTTTTTTTAAAGATGACCGGTAAGGGGATCTCAACCCTTGGCTTGGTGTTGTCAGCACCACGCTCAGCCAGTGAGCAAACCGGCCATCCCTATATAGGATCCGAACCCGTGGCCTTGGTGTTATCAGCACCGCACTCTACCGAGTGAGCCACAGGCCGGCCCTAAACACAGGCTTTTTTTGATCAATGAATTTTCTAGATAAATAAACCATTCTCTAAGAGCTGTAGTTTTAAAAATTTTAATAATTGTTATGATAATTTTCTAAATTATCCTTTATATTTCCTAGATTTGGAGTGAGAACTGTTTTAGTATGAAAAAGGATAATTTTTCTTTAACTTGAGCAGTTCTGATGAAGACATCAGTGAAGTCCTTTGACCCTGAGATAAGCCTCCATCGTACCCTTGGTCACTCTACTCTCTTAGTTCCTCTCATCCTCTTGCTCCTTCCCTGCTCAACAAATTTGTTGAATGCACGAATAAAGTAATTTTAAATAGTTACTTGTTCTAATTTACTGAAATGTTCTGCAAATACACTAGTAGAACATTTTGGTTTTTTTATAAAGCCTAGGGACTATGTGCTTAAAATCCTGTCATATTTATTTCCCTGTCTTCCCTCCACTACTCTTGTTTTCATTCTCGAATGTTTCAACAGCCCCATGGATGATCCATCCCACATCCTGGCTGTCTCAGTTTACTGACTTCCATAACTCCAGTGATTTCTTTCTTTTCCTCAGCTATCTGTATATGCTAGTACATGCTAAGTATCCCTTATCCAAAATGCTTGGGACCAGAAGTGTTTTGGATTTCAGATTTTGAAATATTTGCGTATATATAATGAGATATTTGGGGGATGGAACCCAAGTCTAAACACAAAATGCACTTATGTTTCAATTACGCCTTATATACATAGCCTGAAGATTTTTTTCTTTTTAACACCCTTCTTTCTGCACACTGAGCCTGAAGGTAATTTTATGCGATATTTTTAATAGTTTTGTGCACACATCACATGAAGTCAGGTGTGGAATGTTCTGCTTGTGGCATCACATTAGCGCTCAGAGACTTCTGGATGTTGGAGTGTTTCTCATTTCAGATTCTTTGAGTCCTTGCTTCAGCCATCGCACTCTCTTTTTTTTTTTTTTTTGTCTTTTTCCGTGTCCGGCAACGGATTGCAACCCTCAGTGTCGCCCCCGTACCGGACCGGGACCGGCAACGGGATCGCAACCCTCGGTGTTGCCCCCGCGCCTCGCTCAGCCAGTGAGCGGGAACCGGTCTGCATGTGGGATCCGAACCCTCGGCGGGAGCGCCTCCGCGCTTCCCAAGCGGCGCACTAGTGCAGTGCGCCACCGGGCCGGCCCAAGCCATCGCACTCTCTCACCTGCATTTCATCTCTCAATTCACTGTAGTAATTTTTTCATCACTGAAACCTCCAACCATTGATTTTACCACATGTTCATCTATGTCCTTGTCACTTGCCCAATCTGGACTCCGTAGTCCAACAGTATAAAATTTTCTTACAAATATCGTTTTTAAAGTTTTTTAAAATTTATATAAATAAAAATATTACACATGCATGTGGTTTAAAGAATCAATTAGTACTGTAGGTTTATTTATTTATTTTTTTAAAAAGCACTTTGCAGCTGACTTCTCCTCGTTTCTCCTTTCCCAAGGTTTTCTTTTCAACCATTGTAGCTGATCTTGGCATTTGCTTCCGTATCTCTTAAAATATGCTTATTCTGCTGCTTCTTACTCTTTCAGTCAGGCATTAGCTACTGACTTCCCTCTGTGGATGATGAAGCATTAGTTCTGTCTTCCCTGTGCCTTTTATTGTGCACTTCAGCCTCTCCAGCTCCCCAGTGGACTGATTATGTCATTATTCAAGTGTTAAGGTTATTTTGACCACGAATGTTATTCTGAGCTGATTTTTATTCTGCAATTGTCATATCCTCCTTTCCTTTTGGGTCACTTTCCATAGGAACAAACAAATCCTTTTTTTTTTTTGTTGGCAGCTGGCCCATATGGGGATCTGAACCCTTGACCTTGGTGTTATAACACTGCACTGTAACCAACTGAGCTAACCAGCCAGCCCAGCACAGAAAAATATTAATAGCTCTCTTTATAGAAAAACTCTTCTGAGACCCTCACGGCACCCTTACCATCTGTGGGCCTCCCCATGACAGCAAAACTCCCTGAACAAATTGTCTGTCCTGGCTCTCTCCACTGCCCTCGCATCCTCTTCTGTACGTCCAACCACTGCAATCGGGCTTTTGCTTCTACTTGTTCAGAAGAAAGAGCATTGTCACCATTGATCACAAATGGGCTACAGCTTGCCAAATCCAAAGGTTAAATCTAAGTTTCAGTCTTACTCAGCATTCCAGCAGCTTTTGATATGTTTGACCTCCCTGAAACACTTGGTTTATGGGATTCCACACTGACCTGATTCTCCTTCTGTGTCACTGGTCATTCCTTCTGTATTTCATTTGCTAATCCCTCCCCTTCCTCCAGTTTTCCACTCAGAAAATGCTGGAGTGCCCAGGGCTTTTCTCTGCTCTCTTCTCTTTGCTTTGAATGTCATCTGTAGTCTGATGACTCTGAAATGTTTGTCTCCAGCCCAAAGCTCCTTAGAACTCCAAACCTAGAAACCAGCTTCACTTCGGTGTTTGAATAAGCCTTTCAAGCATAATGTGGCCACTCCATAGATTTTCCCACTGGATCCTTCAGTCCACTACGCATCATAGTGAAGGCCTTCATCAACCAATTGCCCAGGCCAAATACCTATCAGTCTCTCTTGGATGCATTCCTATGTCCCACATTCAACCTGTCTCTACCTTTCAGCTGCAGTTAAAAAGTTTTTCTGTAATTCCGCATGTCCCCACAGCTCCACTGCTATAACCCTAAGGTGATTCTTGCTGGGATCACCAACTACTTCTACCTAACTGGTCTCCTTACTTCCCTCTTTTCCTAATCCATCACCATTCCACAGAGCAGTCACATGTAGTGAGAGTGTAAATCAGATCATTCACTCTGCTGCTTAAAACCTTCCTGTCGCTTCCTGTTATGCCTTGAATCAGACACAGAACTCTTCCTGAAGCTTTTGTATCCACATCCCTGACCTGAGCCCCACCTGCTTCCACACAGCATCTCTGCTCTTGTTCTCCTTGTTCCTGCAGAATGCCTTTCTCCTGTAAAGTCTTTTCTGTTATTTTGGTTTCATCTCACGTTACTTCAGATGGAATTCTGTCCTGATTCTAGCTGAAGCTGTACTTTTATCGACTCGACCACATTACTCTTTTATCTTCTTAAAATAGCACCTCTTGCACCTGAAACTACATTAATATGTTTTCAGAATTTTACTCTAGGGCCGGCCCGGTGGCGCACTGGAGAGTGCGCCGCTTGGGAGTGCGGTGGCGCTCCCGCCGAGGGTTCGGATCCCATGTGGAGACCGGTTCCCGCTCACCGGCTGAGTGCGGTGCAGGCGCAACACCGAGGGTTGCGATCCCGTTGCCAGTCCCCGGTACGGGTGCGACACCGAAGGTTGCGATCCCGTTACCGGTCAGTAAAAAAAGACAAAAAGGAAAATGAAAAAAAAGAATTTTACTCTAGAATGTAATTTCTTCCTGGATCCTGAGCCTCTGGAACAGTTTCTCACACATGAAAGGGATTTTGTTGACTGACTCATAGAATTCATAAGACAAAAGCGTCAAAGAAGCAGTGTATTATGAATGTTTCATTTACTTTATATATGAACATTGTTTGCTTTCTCCAGCAGGAAATAGAAAAACAATTCTGATGAGGGAAACTTACATTTTATTTCAAGCAGCATTTCAAACGCTCCAAGTTACTGGGATATTAAACCTACCCTGACCGTGTTCAAATGTGACCGCAAAAAAACACACATTCAAGTTAAATTGTATGACTTTGAGATAATCTTTTCTCTATGGCTCATACAGGAGAGTTGACCACAAGCTTTTTATGAATATTATGTGCTATTTATATCATAAAGGCTTACATCATCAAGCATATTTGCCCTTGAAATGTTCTGCTGTTATGCAATAGTTTGCTTTATGAGTGTATTTAATTAGGAGTAGAATCTAATGTGTGCACAGATCACCATCAGACATGGCTTCAGGATTTTAACTGCTTTTTCTCCGTATGGCATTTTAAAGGGAGGTAATTTTTTACTTTTCACCTATTGGTATAATTTTTTAAATTGCCACAAGCCCACTATCAGTGGAAATATGTTAGTAGTCCAAGTGATAAAGAAAAAATAAACCTATATAGAGAACTTAATCAGTAATTTGTATATAAACAGAACTCTCAGATTTCATATTACTTGCCTTTATCTAGCACTTCTGTTTTTGCTGCTATAAATTTATTTTGTCAGTCTTTGGCTGGAATCCTGTTAGCAGAGTTTCCAGAGAGTTTCGGTGCTTGTACCTTCTGACTTTGTATTTAACTGAATGGCTGGTTTTCAGCATCCTCAGGGTTTAATAAAACCAGGAAAATCTAGCTGGAGAGAGTCAAAGGAGAGAAAGGAATGTGAGAGTGGGTATCTGGGATAGTATGGAGCTTCCATGTCTTGCTCTGGCCTGGGACAGAGGTCACATATGGACTGGAGGTGAGTAGAGAGACCAGCTTGCAGGAGATGCGCTGAGACCTATGGGTGACAAGGGCATCATGCAGGTGACTTCTGATGGATACTTTCAGCACTGCCTTTGGTAAAGTTTCTCACAGGCAGGTTCCTCCTGTCCCTTCTTCCTGGCCCCATCTCCAGGATTTGATTCTTTCTTTGCACCCTCCATGTACTCGCTTAGGTTGGCCTCTGAAACGTTTTTGTGCTAAACTTTCCCTTTCTCTTTCATATTCGATTTGCTTAGGCTGTCTGTGGTGGTGGATACTAAGGGATGAAAAAAAGCCTTTAAGCCCCTCAGAATCCTTTTAAAAGTTGTTTACATCCCAAATAATTGGGGATGCATTTTGTCTAGGTGCCTTTTTAAAGCATTTTCTGCCTACTTCAGACTTCTCTTAACAGGATCCATGGATTCATTAGTATCAGTATTAATAACCAGCAAGTAGCCACACACCTATCTCTACCACTCAGCTGTTCGTCTTCACTCAGGTCTTGCTCAAAACTGGGAGAGGAGCAGAAGGAAGACTAAGATGATTACAGGGAGAAGAGGCTCTGGTACACCAATTGATTACCTCTGATCTTCAAAAAGCTTTTGTGTATTTAGTTTTGAATTCAATGGTTTATAGACCTGGCCTATAGAAACTATGTTTGAGTTGATTGATAATACCTCTGTGTTTTTGTACTTTAACAGGGCAGCCCTGTACTGTATCACAATGTTAATTCATTAAAAGAGCGAATATCTGCCTTCCAGTCGGCTTTTTGCTCCATAAAGGAAAACAGGAAAATGGCTGACTGTCCGGAATTTCCAGAGGCAGAAACAGAGTTCACGACAACAGGCTTGAGTGAGTAGAAAGAATTCAATCAATTTTGACTTCTGTATTTATAAAAACAAGCTTCTAAGATATAAAAAAGATTTAGTTCCACAGTGTGAAGCAATCTCTTCAGAGCACAGTTGTATTTTTAAGTGGAGATTAACATTGAAAGTTTGGGACATTTCATACAAAAACCTGGCTTTCTGGTGTCTCTTGAAAAAAACCTGTTATCAGGCATTCCTGAACCTGCATTTCTACATGGTTACAATTAAGTTTCAGAATGTCAGAGCTTAATTAGCTCATTTCAGCTTTTGCATAGGTCATGTGGCAAATTTGAGTTTATAAACCTTGATTTTTACAGAATTATTATACTTTGGCAAGCATTTATACGAATACTAACCACCCAACCCTGATGTTAAAAGCGGATATCTAATCTGATATTTTAGTAGTCTGCCATATTCCTTACTATAACACTTAGATAGTAATTCATTTGGTTATTTTCAGTTGCTTCTGATTTTTTCAATCGCAAAGCATTTCAAACACCACAATTCAACAAAATCTTGGCTTTACCATAATCATTATAACCATTCCTCTGGTGCTCTACACTCTGAGGTCCCAAGTTATTTTGTTTTGACTTCTTGAACCTTCTTCAAGTGCATTTCAACCTCTCCTTGTGTGCAGTGCACTGCTGACCCAAGACCAGTCGATTCATCTACCTCTGCAGTACATGACCCACTCAGATGTACTCATTTGTAGTTTGTAACTTACCTGTTGTTTTGGTTTTTAACTGGGTATTTTAATTTATTTTATTTACACCATTATTATTATTCAGCAGACAATTAAATTGTTTTTTTATTGCTAGAAAGAACTGAGGCACATCATGGTTGTGTTTTTCACAAAATCATACAGAATCAAAACAGAACAGTATTAGAACATAACCACATTCTTTAAAGTGTTCAAAATAAAAGGTTTTCATTGTAAATTTTAAAAGAGTGAGCCAGGTGGAGGGCATGGGGAAGGATTACGATTTGTAATTATGAATATGCTAATAATAGAAAAAAAGAAGTGTGAGACACCAAATCAGAAATGTGAATGTATTTATTACATCTTTGTACAGTTTAAAGTCTGCAAAAATTTAATTCTAATAATTAAATTTATTATTATCTTTATTCGTCATGTGCTCTTTTCAGGTAGATTTTCTTTTATGATTAAAAAAGTGTACTAGATTTTTCTTTCATTGATATGTTAGACTCAAGCACTAAATTTTAATAAAGTTATTATGTACAAAATTTTAAAATAATATTTAAGAAATATATATTTTTTCATGTGCCATTTTGTTTTTATTTTGTTTTGTGTATCCAGCTAAAAAGGAAGGTCTTGGTGAATGTCAGCAGTCCGGATTCCCCACAAACTTATCATCCAAACGTAGGAAAATATCCTCTCAGAGCAACTCTGATGAAAATCTAATTGATGCCAAAAGAGAAGTAATTGATCTCCAGCTGTTCAGTATTGATACCGACAGAACACATGCTTTTGAAACTTGTGCGGATCTTTCTGAGGTAATTCATTTACTTTATACATAGGAAAATGAAGCTTTGGTTTTCTGCATAGTCAGTTTTAGGTCGAGATTTTTCTTCTTCTTCTGCCATATTGTAGTTGGGGTTTTAAAATGTGTGTGTGTGTGTGCGCGCACGCGTGTTTCCTACATGTTAATTTTGTTATTGTAGATCGATTTGTTACATATTAGAAACAGCTTTGATAGATATGTTGCTTTTGACTATTAACCTTACCAGAAGGATTTGTGAAAAGATCTCTGTGGTCCTCTGCCTCTGAGGGGTTGTTCTAGATGGTAATGGTTCCACAGTGAGCCAGTCACAATAACCAAAAAATAAGGTGAAGCTTATTCATGGGGTGGACTCGTCAGGACTGGGGTCCTGCACATCTGTTCGCTGAGTGCTGGCCAGGAAGCACAGTGCTTTTTAGCCATCCCTCCTCTGCTTTGCTCACTTCTTTGAAGTAGCTTTAGGGATTTTTGTGGCATGTAACTACGTAAAGCCTGTCAAGATTATCAAACAATAACCAACATGTGTTTTACTAAGTTAGGAGAAAAATCATGCTGTTGAAGGTCTGATGACCTTCACACATGTAATTGAGGGGAGCAAGTCTCTCATGACTGGCTTTCCTCGCTTCACTCGTGGTTCAGGTTTGACACAGTAAGTAAGTTCTTGTCTCCTTCGTGAGAGGCATGAAACACCATCACAGTGGGAACGTTTTTCTTTATTTTCTCTGCATCTTATTTGGACTGGCGTAATCAGTGTTTGATAGTCATTAGGAATTCTGCAGGGTCCCCTGCATTTCATTTGTATCCCAGAGCCGCCTAATCTCTGTTCCTCTGCTTTATTCAGGTTAATATGCAATCTAACAGAAGTGGTAGCAGTTGTTTCTTATGAGAATTTTGATTGGATATGCACCATGATTTAGAAATTTTTTCTGAATATGAGTGTGTTCTCTATCTTAGCTATTGATATTTTGTGGTTTTGGTTAATAATTAGGTAATAATTTTCTTTATTTTGAGAATTTTCTATTCGAAGTATAGCAGATGACACAGCTTTCTAGGCTTTAATAATGCAAAAAAAACGTGTTCTTTAAACTTTCCCAGAAGATTGAAGTTGTTTTGTGGGATGTTTAGGATGCATTTAGGATGAATATTCCGTTGTTAGATTCCTGTCTACTTTGAGTTTACTAGATAATGAAGGTGACTGGACACCAGATTTCCAGGTAATCCACAGCGCTTACTCAAATCTTCATAAAGCTGTCAGTAATACTGTAAGTAATAAATTACTTCCTTACTCTTTAAATGTCTTCCCCAAGAAACCCTCCCAACTTGGCTTAACACAGTATGGATGTTCAGTTGAAGAGTCTATTCCCATTTCGGAGCTCACAGAGGCTTCAAATGGTAAGTGTTTAATGTTTTCTTAGTACATGTGCTGGTTGCCCCAGTCAGTAGACACTTATGATTAGTGTATCTATACGCTAATATTTGGGAAAACTAAAGTGGTTTTCTACTTCTAGGAGCTCATGGTTTAGTAGAAGGATTTAAGAGTTCTTGTTATATGAGGCGTATTTTCTTTTTTGAACTGCTGTCAGTAAGAGTTAATGAAGTATATCCAAGATAGAACAGTATCTGTTATAAAGTGTACGACGTATAAATACATTAACAAGTATATGTTGTTAGAGAAACACTATGTGTTAATTTCTATTTTTAAGTGAGTCAAAAGAGTTTTACTAGGATGTAAAAATTATTCTTTCCCCAAATTAGTATGCTTGTATGGAGTGAAAGTTACTAGCAAGGTTTTAGGTTTACTTTTATCCTGCCTATGTCGTTTTCTTTAAAGCTCTGTAGGCATGTAATTGGATATTGCTTATCTATTCTGATAATCTCTGCCATTTAATGTGGAGTAATTATTCGGTTAATGTTTGAGTAATTATTGATATGGTTTGATTCACATCTACCATTTTATCATATGTTTTCTGTTCTTTCTGGTTTTTTTGTTCCTCCATATCTATTTTTGCCATCTTTGGGTTTGATTGAATATTTGTTTACAATTGCATCTGAGTTTATTACCTTTTAAATTATACTTTGTTGCATCTTTTTTGTTGTTGCTGTTGCTCTAGGGATTTATAACGTACATTTTTAACTTTTCACAGTCTGCTTAGAGTTGAACAACTTCACATAAGATGTATAGAAACTTTAAGAACTGTAGAGCTCAATTTCCTCCCTCCCCCTCCCAACCATGGCTTTTACAGTTCTTTATACCATAGATGTCACATAAATTACATTTACTTTATTGTAGACCTCACAAGATATTATCATTTTTGCTTTAAACAGTCATATATGTATTTTAAATAAGTTCAGAGGAGAAAAATAATCTTTTATGTTTACCCAGATATATACCATTTCTGATATTTTTCATTTCTTCCTGAAGATCTAGTTTCCCTCTGGTATTTTCCTTCAGCCTGGAAAAGAACTTCTTTAGCATTTTTTGTGTGTATGAGTATTTACTCTGACTTTTAATTTTGGTCATAATATGGATGGATGGATGTCTGCCTGCTTGCATGCATAAGGCGCACAGAGCTAGGTTATGAGTTTGTTGCCACTGAAATAAGGCGCTCTTGCTCAGCAGATTTCTTACCAGTTCTCTTTGCTTTGCTCTCCTGGGACTTTTCTTAGGAGTGACATATTCTTGGATGATAATTGCTGATTGTATGAAGTGTTGTCATTAAAAGTTGTCATCATAGCAAACACCTATAATCTATATGAAGTGATTTTAATAAAGTTGTTAAAGTTATCATAAGGACCAAAATCCCATCTGAGTGCCCCCTTAAGCCTGACTCAGAAATATTGGGATAAGACGGGGAAGGACAGATCTACCATGGGTGTGGGGCCTTGATTAAAGAAATCTGCTGTTGATTCCTGTGTTTTAAACTGTTTGGTTATTTGGTGGCACTCCAGAGGTTGTTATATCTAAGACAGTGCACCTTCAAGAAGAGTAAAAAGATGTTGTGGGATGGGATAGAAAGTCCTTTGTTACAGGGAGCTTAGAAAGGGGGCCTGAATGATGCCTCCCATCTCTCCCTTGCCCTCTACTTTTTCTACATTTTACCCATCTAGCCAGAAATCCAATCCAGCAGATCTCTCTGCCGACTGCACTTACCCAGAGCTGATATATATTTGGCGTGTTGATGGCCTCACCGCTTTGTTTCAGCACCTGTGGGCTCTCAGCACTTCTTGGTGGTCCATGCTGTGCCTTAATTAGTTCACACTCTTTCACACCTTCTCTTTCCCATCAAGCTTCCAGCACACCTTCTCATTTCTTTTTTTAATGGAATTATTTATTTCTTATGAGCAATTTTTTAGTGGGACTGTGTCTCGTGCAATATTTCCTTTATATCAAAGCACATATGCATTTGTAATTAGATATAATGCACATTTTCCTGGGCCCCCTGCATCTTTATTTGCTGAATCTGGCCACCTTACTCGTGGATGGTCAGAGATAAAGTGCTCTGGTGTTCTTTTGCAGTCCCTTGCTGCTTCTATCCCTGAGAAGGTGGAGGGTGTCAGAGCAGGTGTCTTGGTCCCCTCACCACCATACCTCGCTGCTCCCTGTACAAGTGTACCCACCCTTCCTCCTAGTACAGTAGAGTTTCAGCATCCTCATCTAAGGCACACCCTTTCATTAGGGGCTCGTTCCCTTTGCCCCTACCCTTTTCGATGACCTTGTGTCCTAGCTGTCCCCTCTCCTTTGAATTGTTAACTTTTTCCATTAAGATACTGTGTGCTGTAATATCTTAAGCTCCCCTTGACCCAGAATTCCCTTCCAGCCAGAACCCCATTTCTTTGCTCTCCTTTAGGCAAAACGCCTTTTTAAAAAAGGCTGTACTCTGTCTCTTTGCCTTCTACCTTTTCCTGACTCAGCTCCACACGGGCCATGGTGACCAGCCACTACCTCATTAACGTCCCAGTGGTGGTCAGTTTCAATACGTTCCTCTCCTTGATGTTGTAGCAGCATTAAAGACAGACACAGACGTACCATGCCCACCCAGAAGAAACATTTTCTTCACTGGGCTTTGGGACATCACTTTCTTGTTTACCTCAATGTCACTGGCCATTCTTTCTTGTGTATTTTCTTTGTTTCTCCTCTTCCTTCCTGACCTTTAAATGTTTGTATGCCCCCAGGTTCAGTGCTTGGACCTTTTTCTTTCCATGTTCTTTCTAGGTGATTTCAGACATTGTAATACACTGTTGACTTCAGATTTAAACATCTGTCTGTGGCCTCTTCCCTGAACTTTAGAATCGAGTACCTAGTTGCTTTTCTTGATCTCCACTTGGATGTCTGATGAACTTCTCAAACTGAACACACTCAAACATGTCTTGGTTGAGACCAATCTGCTCACCTTTATTTTTTCCATCTCAGGAATTGACACTGTCATTCACCCAACTTCTTGTGCCAGAAACCTTGGCATTATCTTGACACCTCTCTTTTTCAAATTAAACTTCTAATTCCATTCACAAATGCTATTTGGTCTTCAAAATATATCTAATATCTAACCCCTTCTCACCACTACACTGCTGTCAGTATGGTCCAGGTCCCCATCATCTCCTGCTTGGCCTGTTTTACTCATTTTCCTAAGTTATTTCCCTGCTTCTCCCACCGCACCACCCTTTTACGTTCTTCTTCAAAGTAGCCAGAGTGCTGCTTTTATAATGTCATCATGCTAAGTCACTCCCCTTCTCAAAATCTTCCATTGGCTTCCCATCACACTTAGAATAGTATCCAATGTCCATTCCGTTTCTACTGGACCTGACCTGGCCTGGTCCCTAACCATTGCTCTGAGTTTTTCTTAGCTCCCTTCTCCTTGCTCACTGCTCCAGCCACACCAGCCTTGCCACGCTGCTACTAGCCAGGTGTGTTCCTATTCAGGTCTTTGCACTTGGCTTTGTGCATGTAATAATGCTCTTCCCTTGGTCTGTGCATGGCTCACTTTTTCATTGTATTCGGATGTCTGCCCAGGAAGCTGCCTCTGACCTCCCCAAAACAGTAACACCCTCCCCACCCCATGTTATCATAACCTATCCCCTTATCTATACATTATTTTCCTTAATAGCATGTATTACTACTTGTTATGTAGTATTTCATTAACTTTTTATTTTGGGATAACTATAGATTTACATGCAGTTGTAAGAAATAATATAAAGAAATCCAGCATACGCTTCACCCAGTTTCCCCCAGTAATGACATCTTGCATAGCTACAATGTAATACTGCAACCAGGAAATTGACATTGGTACAACCCACTGATTTTTCAGATTTCTTCAGTTTTATATGCACTCATTTGTGTGGATATTTAGTTCCCTGCAATTTTATCACCTGTAGACTCATGTGACCACGCTACTGTCAATATACAAAACAGTTCCATCCCAAGGATCCCTCATGCTGCTCTTGATGGCCACAGCTATCTCCCTCCTTCCCCTCCTCTCTGTTGGTGGGTTTTATGTTTTCTGTCTGTTCCTGAAGGTTTGGGGTCTTTGTGTGTTTTGTTTGTCATTGTATCTCCAGTACCTAGAAGAGTGTGCGTCATAACCTATATTGGTTAAGTGAATCACTGGTTCAAAAGGCAGTGCTCTCTTGCAAGGAAGAATTTGGGGAGGAAAGCCTTGCCTTGTTTGGGGCATGTACAGTATGTTAGCAGTTTGGTTTGATAATCTTTCTCCTCACTCTTCCGTCCTCTCATTCCTACCACCGTGTTTACTGAAATGACTCTGACTCCAGCAGTAAAATCACTCCTTATCCAGTGCTTGGCTCAGGTTAGTTGATGGCGCAAGTGATGGGGTCACAAGTAGAGGCAGACTGATGTTTTATAGGTGATTCATGAAGCTTTCTTCTGACCCCTGACCCTGATTCCCATGGGAATCAAAACTCCTTACTTACCTTTGCACTTAGTAGTCAGATATGAATTAAAAACTGTGACTAGGGCCGAGCCCATGGCGCACTTGGGAGAGTGCGGCGCTGGGAGCGCAGCAGTGCTCCTGCCGCGGGTTCGGATCCTATATAGGGATGGCGGGTCTCAAAAAGGACAAAAAAGAAAAAAAAAAAACTGTGACTGATGCCACTTCTCTGTCTTCTTGTATATTTCCAAATGAAATCCCAGATGTTACTCCCTGAGAAGGATACATTAGGGTTGAATTTCTTAATAGCATGTTATTTCACAAATACATAAAATATTTTTGGTCTAGAGCAGATGGGTTTAGATGTCTTCCTCCTCTCATGTTTACGTGTTTATCTGGAAGGACTCAGGGTTGCTGACTGTGTAGAGGACAAAGGGTCAAGTGCTCCTGTTCCACCTGACAAGTTTATAGCAGGAGTGAGCTCCGACGTGGTCCCTGACCTCAAGTCACCAGCTCCTCCAGCGTGCAGGAGGGACAGTCCATCCACTGAGACCTTTGTACTTCGCTCTGTACTGAAGAAACACACTGCTAAGCTGTTTTCAGAGCACTTACAGGTAAGTAGAGAGTTACAATTCCTAAAGCAAATGAATACAAATTCATTTTGTATCAAAGCAGTACCTCTGAAATGTCATATATCATACTGGTTTAAAAGGAAATGTCTTGCCGTAATTTTTTTTTCCTCTCCTTTTCTCATTTATAATATTATATGGAGTTAGTTTCTTTTTGTTCTTTTTTTTTGTTTTTAATTAAGTATGGTATACAGTGTATGGAATTTAGTGTAAGTAGAGTATAGTTTATGAGGTTCATAATCTTAATTATAGTTATCAGTTGTATTAATATAATTATATTTTATTAATTTTATATCATCGTATAGTGATATTAATAATCATCATTAATGTATCAGTCTGTTATACATCTATCCACCCGAAATATTTGGTGTTAAAAATACCTCTTACAGCCATGCTTTTTTCCCTAAGCTCAGTTAATAGGAGGAAACGGAAGTTGATAGGAACTGGCTGGCATTTACTGAGTAGTTTCTATTGACAGTTCTGGCATATGTATGGCAGTAGTACTCCAAGAAAGGTGTTGGCCTCATTTCACATACACTTAGGCTTAGAGGTTATTGAATGAACCCAGATAAGTCTGCTGTTAAAGTCCACGACAGACTATAAATCCATGAAAGGTTGAGAGTATAGGCTTATGAGCCTGGTTTCAAATCCTGAGTTGGAAATTTAGTATCTAGGCCACTTATTCAACCTTTTGTGCCCTGGTTTCTTTATCTGTAAAAGGATCTTAGTAACTACCTTATAGGGTAATTTGAGCATTAAATTGGATAATATTATGAAATTAGCACTAGTGCCTGGTACATCAGAAATACAAATCTTTTTTTTTCAAACCATAAGCATTTCAGTGTACAACTATGCCTAGAAATCTGTTTCTAAAGCCAAAATGAATGAGATTATATTCCATCTACATGGATGGTGAACTGCTATTTTAAATGTTTTAACAGCTGTTTTGGTTACAGAGCTGATTTGGATTTTTAATACAAACGGCACTCCTTGTTCATATCTTGTATTTATCTTTTCCTCAAAGAGGCTTAACATGTTAATGATTCATATTACTCTTATTCATTAGCATTTGACACAGCAAACATCAAGTCCTGCCACTAGAATCCCATGTAAGTGTTTACAACTAATGGTCTTTTCACTAAGCTGGCCAAAGTTGGTAGGCATATAAAATTTGAGTTGTTTGCTAATTTTTGTGGTGGTTTTACTAAAAATAAATCTAAAAGTAAATATGAACTTTGTTGTATAAGTTAACTTATTTCACAGTATTGGTATATGCATTTTTTCTGGTGAGGAAAATAAACTGTCTTAGGAGATAGTCGATTAAGGAGGTTTGTTTGGGGCAGGACTATTTCTTAGAGCAGGTGCTCTTATTGGAACAGGTGTATTGGAGAAGATGAATAGCCTTCAAGAACAAGGACTGGTCAGGGGTTTAGGTTGAGGCTGGACAAGCAGGTGGTGATTGAGAGGGGACTGTGATCTAGCCCATATGCCTGGCTCTCTCCTGCTGAGCTCCAGTGACCCTGTGCTCAGGCATGCCCTGTCTTTTCCAAGGTTTACAAAATCCCTTCCTTACTAACTTGCCAACACCATAAGCTGCATTTGAGAAATACACAGGGACAACCACTACCTTTTTCCCTTGTTTTTTCCTCAAGAAGAATAATGGAGATGAGAGATTTAAACACTTATTACCATCTGCTTTTTATATTTAGGAGCAGAACATCATTTATTTTACCATTTACCTATTTGTTTTTTTCCTCGTTTCAGTGCAGTTCTTTTTTTTTTTTTTCCTTTTTTGTCTTTTTTCGTGTCCGGCAATGGATCACAACCCTCAGTGTCACGCCCGTACCGGACCGGGACCGGCAACGGGATCGCAACCCTCGGCGTGCGCCCGCACCTCGCTCAGCCAGTGAGCAGGAACCGGTCTGTATGTGGGATCCGAACCCTCAGCGGGAGCGCCGCCACGCTCCCAAGCGGCGCACTGCAGCAGTGCGCCACCGGGCCGGCCCTCAGTGCAGTTCTTATACCTCAGAACATTTCCATAGTCTATCTCATTTATACCATATAATTATAATGTAATTATAATAATACTATAATTCTTTCTAGCCACTCCACATTTTCCTTAACTTCATTTGCTAGATCAAAGATGGAATGAATTTAACCCATATTTATGGATTTCTGGTCTTTAATTTTGTCCTAAAATACTTGTACTGTTTACTAAAGTATTATCTAGGGGATCCAATTTTTCTTTGTGCCTGATATCATGGTGTTTTAAGTCAGAAGAATTGTGAAAATAAGGGTAATCTTTAATACTGGAGTATCTGCCCTTGGCAGAAAAAAATTTTAAATTGCCATTCTTAATGACTGAATATTTATTTATATAGATAGAAGTATTCATTGATGTTTATTTTGTTTAGGAACACTGTGACAACCTCTGCGATGATGGGACTCAACCAAGCTCAATTTCAAATCTTGCAAACTGTTGCAGAGAACGAAAAGTGGGTAAGAAATTCATTTTTATTTTTAAGCCTGAAGTCATCACTTTCTTGTTAATAAAATATGATATAAGGGCCAGCCCGTGGCTCACTTGGGAGGGTGTGGTGCTAGTAACACCAACGCCACAGGTTCAGATCCCTATATAGGGATGGCTGGTTAGTTCACTTGAGAGAGCATGGTGCTGACAACACCTGGTCAAGGGTTAAGATCCCTGGGGGTGAGGGGGATTCTGATATATGGAATTTTCAATGATCTGCTAATGCCTTATAGACTCTGAAATGACGTGGGAATGAAAAACCATTAGGAGGGATAGAATCTCTGTGGAGAGTAGGAGAATTCATCTGTCCATTTCACCTATCCATTTTTATTTCATGGTGGAACTTATAAAGGAAATTTGTGTTACAACTTTATAAATTTTAAAAATATTCATTTAACATTTGACTTTAAAATCTATTACCATATTTTAATTGGGAATTTATTTTTTCCATTTTTGGATTTGCTTTACAAATTATACTTTTTTATTATACAAATAATAGCTGAATATTATCATGTTAAAAGATCCTAGTATATGTCTTTTGAATAAGAAATTTCTTAAGGTATTCCTATTTGTTATCCATAGAAGATCAAGAAAATTGTAAAGCACCAACCTTTCTAAATATGAGGAAGAGAAAGAGAGTTACTTTTGGAGAGGACCTAAGCCCTGAAGTGTTTGATGAATCTTTGCCAGCAAATACTCCATTGCGTAAAGGAGGAACACCTGTTTGTAAAAAGGATTTAAGTAGTATCAGTCCTCTGCTACTTGAGCAGTCACCAGTTCCTGAGCAATTACCTCAACCAAATTTTGATGACAAGGGGGAGAATCTTGTAAGTGTGAAAAGTATGGAACAAACTTACTTATATTTTCACCAGGTCTCACCTGTTTTGCATGAGCCATAATTATTCTTTGAAATCATGAGATGGACTAAATGATGTGCCATGGTTTAAATTTAATGTATTTTCTATGTAGGTTTTTACCAATTTTTCTCTATTATAAATGATACTTCCATGATTCTTTGTACATAGCATATTTCATGGACCCTAAATGCTATTGATTGTAAGATATGCCATTGTTTTGTGTATCACTAAGAAAAAAATACTGAAAATTAAACTCTGACACACCACGAATTATAAAATATACTCAGATTTCAGAGGCATTAAAATGTGTAAGAGCAACCATCTTAGACTTGAAATACTATAAATATAAATTCCTGTATTTTCTCCTAAGATGAATTTCTAAAACTGGCATTACTGGATTAAAAAATTTGAACATTTTTGAACTTTTGAATACGTATTGCTAAATTACCATTTATAAAATATATACCAATTTTGACTCACACCAATATAAATGTTTTTATTTCACCATACCGTTGTAAACCCTGTATATTTACTGATAATTTAATAGTGTAATAGAAAAAGATGACTTGAACATTTTTAGTTTATTAGTGAGACTCAAACATTTGTTTCCCAAGTTTCTAGGCCATTTGAATTTCTTCTATTTGGACTTGCCTATTAATCTTTTCTACCCATTTTTATTTTGGGCCATCTGTTCTTTCTCTTTTTACATTTTGAAATAAGAATATTCTTCCAGTCAAGATGGAGTAACAGGGACCTAATTTATGATCCCATAAGAAAAAACTAAAAACCCAGAGAAAGTATATGAAACCGTAGCTTTCAGATATTGAACTTCAGGAACTAATGAGGTGAACCTTATGATGTGCCCTACCGAATGTCTGGACTTAACTTGTAGGCTGCAGCACCAGGAGGGGTCACCTACTGGAGCTGGCAGTCTTCCTGCTTTGAGAAGATGGAGTTGGGGGTCATAAGAACCACAAGAGGCTGGAGTTCACAGAACAGAGTGCGGAAAAGGAGAGAGCTGCACCCAGGGAGAGCTCTTAGTAGTGATCAGCACATACATGTGAGTAAGCTATCTGAGGCCAGGGAAAGAATAGCCCAAGATGAACAGAGGGAGCAATCTGTAGAGCTCACACAGGGGCAGGAATAGTGCCAACTGGAGAAGAAAAATTTTGTAATTCGGAAGCACCAGGTATTCAGGAAAGATTGCCTCATTAGTGGAGTCAAACTGGACCAAAAGCTGCTCTGGGCCTGCCTAATGAAGCTGAAAAGCAAGCCTTGAAGGTATCAAACTATCCAGGAAACTTAACTGTTGCATCAAAAAGCTCAAGAATATTTATAGGATTATAGAACTATACAGCACCAGACAGTGTTAAATTTAAAGTGTCTAGCATTCAATTAAAAATTACTAGATGTGCAAAGAAGCAGAGAGACAACCCATAATGAAGAGAAAACTCAGTCAATAGAAATAGCCAGGGAACTATAGGAAGATGGCAGACTAGAGGAACCCAGGACGCATTCCTTCCACAGAGATCAGAACAGGCCCACTGCTATGACTGCTGAACTTATAGGTGACATCATCGTGACCCAGAACTATCACCCACCTTCCCACAGTGAGTTTCACTCTGCCCAACACTGCTGCCTCCTGTAGTGCAACCCCAGCCACAACTGCTGCTGTTAGCCATCCACACCGGCACTGTAGCGCCACCCAGACCAGCTGCACACAGGATCCCTGTCTACACCTCCACATGAGCCAGACTGGCCATGCGTGGGCCCCTGCTGCAGCTGACTGCAGTGCAATGGCCATTGCCAACAGCTGTCCATGCCACCGCACTAGGCACACCAGCTGTGTACAGTACCCTTGCCCAAGCTGCTTCACCAGCCAGCCCGGCTACATGCAGGACACCCGCTGGAGTTGCATGCAGTGCATCTATTGCTATAGCCATCGCACCAGCCAGATCAGTTGGATGTGGGACCCACCCTTCTGCCACCACCTGCAGCACACTCCCACAGCTGTCCACACCACCACTGCACCAGTTAGATGAGCTGAATGAGGGATACCTGCTCATGGCACTGTATCAGGCAGCACCAGTTGCATGCAAGATCCCCTACCTGTGCTACCACATTGGAATGGCTGCAGATGGGACCCCCTGTGGACATTGAAGCCAGCCCAGCTGGTGCAGGACCCCAGCTGCTACTGCCTGCAGCACGTCTTGCTGCTGCGCCAGTCAGACTGGCTGTGGACAGGACCCACTGCCACTACCACACATTGACACAAGAAGGAGCTGCCAGAAAGAGGTAAGCCAGTGCAGATCCATGCCCCAGTGGCCCTACTCACAGGGGGAATTACACCTTGTGTGCACCACTCATGACTGCCTTGACACAGGGAGAGACACATGCAGAGAACATGAAGAATACAGAAACCCAGCATAGCCAAATAGTGTACAGAAGATAATTCCCAGCCACCATTAACCAGTTCCCCAACCAAGGGAAGCAAGGACCCAGCAGAAGCCTTGGCCCACAGGAATAAGGAAAGAGAAAGCTTGCTCAGGTCACCCAGGCAAGTTGAGGAGATCCAGTATACCCCAGTGCACCCCCCAAGGTCATGGGACATTAACTGGAGAGCCAACAAATTCACCTAAGGTCACCCATCCTATCCAGAGAGTGACAGTGAACCCAGGCACCCCGCCCAAGACTTTGAGAGCTTGTCCGTGTCCTTGACATCTCAACACAGTGTCACAACCCTCAGAAAGAAATCATTTAGTGCCCCAGTGCCTACACCACAGAGGCACTTGCACACAACTCCAACATTAAATATGGCAGAAGTACCCACACAGAGAATACACTACATCTACAGAAGGAAATCTCTCAAAGCCCACTCCAGAGTAATAGAAGAAGCAGCTGTTCTACTGGATGACTAGACATCAATGTAGAGAGACTAGAAATATGAAAAAACAAGGAAATATGATACCCCTAAAGGGATACAATAATTTTGAAGTACCAGACCCCAGGACAGAAACCCTTGCAATATCTGAAAAGGAATTCTGAGTAACAATCTTAAAGAGACACAGTGAAATACAAGAAGACTCAGACAACACAATGAAACAAACAACAACAAAAAAACAATCCAGGACTTGAAGGAGGAAATTTACAAAGGGATAAATACCATAAAAAAGAATGTAGCAGAACTCCTGGAACTGAAAGACTCATTCAGTGAAGTAAAAACTACAATTGAGAGTGTAAGCAGCAGGCTAGAGAAGCTGAAGGAAGAATTTCTGATCTCCAAGTCAGTCTTTTCAAAATAACCCAAGCAGGCAAAAAGAATTTAAAAAAAATTTAAAATCTAAAGGAATGAGTAGACCACCTCAAGTGCACAAACATTTGAATCATGGGTGTCCCAGAGGGGGAAAGAGAAAGGAAAAGGCATTGAAAACATTCATTGAGTAATAGTAGAAAACTTCCCAGGTACTGGTAGAAATACAGACTTCCAGATCCAAGAGACTCAAAGGTCCACAAACAGATCCAATTCAGTAAGGTTCTTTCCAAGGCACGTTATAGTTAAACTGGCAAAACTCAAGATAGAGAGAATCCTAAAAGCAGCAAGAGGAAAGTGTCAAAGTCATCTAAGGGAGTCCCCATCAGACTAACAGCAGACTTCTCAATGGAAACTCTACAGGCCAGAAGAGATTGGGATATTTTCAAAGTACTGAAAGAAAAACCTGCCAGCCAAGAATAGTATACCCATCAAGGCTATCCTTCAGAAATGAAGGGGGAATAGTATATTTTCCACACAAACAAAAGCTGTGGGAGTTCACCACCACATGACCAGCTCTTCAAGAAATCCTTAAAGGAGTCCTGCATTTGGAGGCCAAAAAATGATAATCACCACCATGAATACACAAGAAAGAACAAAAACCACTGGTAGAGCAGATATGCAAATGAGATAAAATTTATATCATACCACCTCAAAAAAACCTATGAACACCAAATACAAACAATGAAGGGGGATGAAAAGAAAAGATATTTAAATCAACCATATGAAAGACAATTAAATGTCGAAAGTAAGACAGTACCTTTTAATAACAGCTCTAAATGTAAATGGATTAAATCCCACACTCAAAAGTCACAGACTGAGCAATTGTATTAAAAAGCTAGACCTAACTATATGTTGTTTACAAGAGACTCACCTCACCCTTTTCCCTCACCTTCACATATACTAATAGTTAAGGAATGGAAAAAGATATGCCATGCAAATGGGAGCCAAAAAGGAGCAGGAGTCACTATTATTATATTGCATAAAATAGACTTTAAACCAAAAACCATTAAGAGACAATGAAAGCCATTATATATTGATAGAAGGATCTTTTCAGCAAGAAGACATAACAATCATAAATATACATACATCCAACACCTTCGCTCCCAGCTATGTAAAGCAAACTCTATTAGACCTGCAGAAAGAGCAGACCCCAATGATAATAGTTGGGGACCAAACACCCCCCTCTCGGTACTGGACAGATCATCTAGGCAGCAAATCAACAGAGAAACAGGATTTAAACTACTAGACCAGTTGGACTTAACAGATATCTACAGAACATTTCACCCAACAACTACAGAATATACATTCTTCTCATCAGCGAACATTTCACCCAACAACTACAGAATATACATTCTTCTCATCAGCACATGGAACATTCTCCAGGATAGATCACATGTGAGGTCACAAATGAAGTCTCCACAAATTTTTAAAAATTGAAATCATTTCAAGTATCTTTTCAGACCACCACGGATTAAAACTAGAAATCAGTAACAAGAAAAACTCTGGAAGCTATACAAACATGGAGATTAAACAGCATGCTTTTTAACAACATATGGGTTCAAGAAGGAATTAAACAGGAAATCAAAATATTTCTTGAAACTAACGAAAGTAAAGACATCATACCAAAACATGTGGGATACAGAAAAAGCAATACTAA